ACAGAGTTGTCCCAGGATGTTTATTTGCCCTTATGGGGGTGGGTTCCGGGCCCCCCCCAACACTACTGGGGTATCTGGAGGGACACACAGCCATCAGCGAGCAGGTGGGACCACCATCCCCCTTCATCCCTCTGCTGGGCCTCAGTATGTTGCCACACTTCCTGTGACTTGCTGACGACAGTGGGGACAGTCCTGTATGTGGTGTGGACACCTTCCTGAAGGTGGGTGGTCCCTCACGTGACCAGTGCAGCAGGAGAGCACCCTCCTGAAAATGGTGGAGTAGCCCCCCAGGAAGACTCCGTGTCCCTTGGGCCTGTCACACCACCTGCTCTGCTCAATCCCAGGGCACTGAGCTCAGTCCCAGGGCACTGAGCAGAGACAGCAGCAGCAGCCACAGGAACACGCCTGCACCGTGTCGGGGGGTCCTCATGGCCCAGACCAGCACAGGCCTTGTGGTCGGGTGAAGTTAGCAGGCGTCAGAGCGTGTCCCAGACTGCAGGGTGGTCTGGCACTGGCCGGGTGTGTCTTTCTTGCTTGCAGTTATGATGTTGGGGGTCACTATCCAACCCAAACCAAACTAGCTCCACCAGGCTGCCCCCCACTCGCCGTGCTCCCTTGTGTGTCAGAACTGTACTCTGTGGGGTTGCCGGTGGCTGACTTTTCACAAATAGGTTTCCAGGCCTTTCCTGCGTGTGGTGTCTGGTGGGTTCCGAGCCTCTCTTGTGCGTGGCCTCTGGTAGGTTCCGGGCCTCTCTTGTGCGTGGCCTCTGGTGGGTTCCAGCCCTTTCTTGTGCGTGGTCTCTGGTGGGTTCCAGGCCTCTCTTGTGCGTGATCCCTGGGTGGGTTCCAGGCCTCTCTTGCGCGTGGCCTCTGGTAGGTTCCGGGCCTCTCTTGCGCGTGGCCTCTGGTGGGTTCCAGCCCTTTCTTGTGCGTGGTCTCTGGTGGGTTCCAGGCCTCTCTTGTGCATGATCCCTGGGTGGGTTCCGGGCCTCTCTTGCGCGTGGCCTCTGGTGGATTCCGGGCCTCTCTTGTGCGTGGTCCCTGGGTGGGTTCCGGGCCTCTCTTGCGCGTGGTCTCTGGTGGGTTCCGGGCCTCTCTTGCGCGTGACCTCTGGTGGGTTCCGGGCCTCTCTTGTGCGTGGCCTCTGGGTCAATTCCGGGCCTCTCTTGTGCGTGGCCTCTGGTGGGTTCCAGGCCTCTCTTGTGTGTGGCCTCTGGGTCAAGGTAATTCCAGGCCTCTCTTGCGCGTGGCCTCTGGTGGGTTCCGGGCCTCTTTTGTGCGTGGCCTCTGGGTCAGTTCCGGGCCTCTCTTGTGCGTGGCCTCTGGTGGATTCTGGGCCTCTCTTGTGCGTGGTCCCTGGGTGGATTCCGGGCCTCTCTTGCGCGTGGCCTCTGGTGGGTTCCACCAACCTTGCAGTTACCAGCTGAGCACATTCTCTGTTCACCTGCCCAGGGAGTCCCTAAAAGTCCCTAAAAGGCACACATGCATTTGTCCCCCCAAACTGTTAAGAGTGTTGGGAGCCACCCTTTTCCCCCAGCTTGGGCTGAGTGAAAGCAGCACGGACGGCAGGAGTGGGAAACGGTAGGAGAGAGTTAGACAAGCAGACCCAGAGCTTTGTCTGTGGGTTTTCAAGCCCAGCTCCTCTCACTAGGAGGCAGGAGATGGTAGGGGCCTCGATGCTAGCTCACCTCCCACCTTGGCAGCGGCCGTGTGCGTACATACATTGGGGGCCAGTCAGACCTGTTCCTCAGGCAGGTGATTGAGCACCGCGTCCATGGCTTACAAACACCTGAGTCATCGACGCCACCCCTGTGCTTGGCAGCGCGTGCCGCCCTGAGCCCTTTGTGGAGGGTGGACCCGTCTGAACATGGGGCCATGGTCTGGGCAGTGGTCTCAGAGCAGGTCCTGCCCCACGACCCGTAGCTGACATCTGGGCTTCTTCCTGTACCGACTGCGCAGGGACCGTGGGCACAGGGACTGTGTCTGTTTCAGGGGTGCCCCGTGCCAAACCTTGACTGGCTTTGAAGTGTGTCACCAGGTGGGGGTCCACTTGGCTCTGGGCCAGCGTGCAGGCACACCCGCCAAGCCTGTGAGGCCTCCCGTCTTGGGGCAGTGCCTGCTGGCCAGCTCCCCTCTGGAGGAGAGTGTGACATCTCTCTTCAGGTGTTGGTCACCAGGAAAGCACACTATGTGCATATCCCAACTGGGAGGAGCTGGGTTAGCAAGGGTGGGCCTCTGGCATGGCCTAGTCTCCCCTTTCTTGCCTTAGGGGCTCAGCGATGGTGACAGCCTCCGAGTGCCTTGGTCCTGGGAGTGGGTGGCGGGGAGGGGAGGAGGAGGGACAGGACAACACAGTGTCACATGCCAGAGAACGCTGGGGACCACATGATGGCCTGCCATGGCTGCGGCAGCTGACAGAGAATGTGATGGCTGTGTGGGCATGTGTCCCCAGCACCCTGAGCCCTTGGCACTGGGTGAGGCTGCAGGTGCCCCATTGGGGGGCCTTGAGCCAGCCTGGACCCCGCTTCTTCCCCACTGCCGGCCCGTGTTGTCCCCTTGTGTCCGCATCGCCAGCTGGCCTGAGGCCACACACACTGAGCATGTGTTTTCCAAGTGACGGCCATGCTGCACTGAGCTGTATTCTGACGTCTGCCCTGGGCGCCACCCTGCCCTCAGCACCTCTGCCCCGCCCTGGGCCTGGTGTCCGGCTCCACTTCTCTTTGGTATTGTTTACTGTGACTGGCTTTCCTTTCGTGAGATGCCAGGTTTATACGTGAGCACTAGTCCTGGTGACAGAGTAGTCCTTGCAGTGGGGTCCACATGGGCTGAGGCAGGGCAGGTGGGGGGCGAGGAGGGACAGGTAGGGGTCCAGCTCAAGTGGGCTGAGTTGGGATGGGCGAGGGTCCACCTGGGGTGGGGCAAGGGGGGCAGGGGGCTGCTCTCTGCTGAGGGCCTCCAGCCCCTTGGTCAGCCCTTCTGCACCTCTTCCTCAGGTCGCAGTGGGTCCAAGCTGGGTGTGGGTTTTCCTCCAGGTGTGCTCCCTCCCCCTGCGTCTGGCCGCCTGGGTCTTGCTCTTGTCCAGCCAGGTGCCCCTGCCTGGCTTCTGGGCCTGCTTCTGCCTCCCTCCTGCCCAATGGTGCCGTTCCCCGAGAGGGCAGTGTGAGCCAGGGGGGCTTCTGAAAGGCTGCCTGCCCGGTGCCAACCTGCTGTGTCTGCTGGGAACTGCCTAGCGTGCTGGATGGGGGCTGGAGGGGTGGTTCTGGGCTGTTCCAAGTTCGGAATCAGCGTGGTGAGAGGGTTTCAGGTTGGCCCTGGAGGTCCAGGTCATCTGTGGCAGCCGAGGACAGTGAAGGGGCCTCTCCTCCCAGAGGCTCCTCACATGGTGTGGGGACTCATGGCCTGCAGTGTGTTCCAGCTGGCTGGGCAGGGGCGGCTCTGGTGCCTGGGGGCTGCCGGCTGGCATCAGGGCAGCGGGCAGCCAGTGTTCCGGAACAGTGCACTGACCGGTGCCAGGGCTGGAGGGTTTCCTGTTGGGGTGCTGCTCCCCACTCCAGGTGGCAGCTGTGCTTTGAGTTTGAAGAAAATCACCAGGCTCCTAGAAGCAGGCAGTGAGCCCCTCTGGGTTAGGGACAGACAGGCAAAGGAAGAAACAATGCCTCTGGGACAACGGTGCCCCAGCCACCCCAAAACAGCTGTGATCTGGGTGTGCAGAGAGGCGCCCCTGCAGCGGAGGTAAGTGCATGGGGGTCTGGCCACGGGGCCGCGAGCCTGGGTCACCACTGATGCCCGTGTGCCTGACCTTTGCTTCAAACCTCGGGAAGCTGTCGGCCCCGGGCGGGTGGTGGCAGACCCACAGTGTGGGCTTTGGGCGCACTGTCCACGCAGCTATATCTTTATTAAGTAGGTGACATTGTTCCATGGGTGACCTCCTATTTCCTCACTGATCACCATGAGGACTGAGCTGGGGCTTGCATTTAGCAGGGTCAGGCAGGGAGCAGGGACCCCGCTCATTGTTTTACCAGTTCCTTGTGTCCAGCATGGCCTGTGCTCTGACATTTCTCTGGAACACCCCATGCTGCTCTGTCTCCCTGCACGAGCTTGGCTCCACTGACCGGAATGTGGCGCATTCTGCCTTCTGAAGAGAGGAGCTAGAGCCCTGTTCTGCCTGAAAAACTAGGCCCAGAGACAGCAGTCCCCCAGGTGTGCGCTGGATGCCGCATCTGGGCTGGCCAGGGGCAGGGCCTGTGGGCAGCACCCGAAGCCTCTGTCTTGTGGGCCATCCAGGGGGACTGAGGATGGAGAGAGGACACTTGCAGAGGCCCACTGCTGTCACGGCCGGAGGATGACCTGTGACCAGCAGCCCAGGAGGCAGGGACCTCCCTGGGCCTGTTGCGGACAGCTTTGGTTCCAGAGCGAGGAGGTGGGGCTGAGCCCTGGGCAACGCTGCCATGTAGCTGCTCAGGTCATCCGAGATTGGTCGGCTGGCGGCCTCTAAGTGCATCTGGTTGGTGCCCAACGGGCGTTACAAGTGCCTTTGGTGTGGGCCATCCCAAGCCTGTGCCAGGGGCTCTGGCTGCAGCCACTGCAGAACATATAGAGCAACTACATTAGTGACGACAAGCCACAGCCTGCATGGAAGTCAGGGTGGCCGGCCGGGGAGCAGGGGGCCCAGTGCTCAGGCCTGCTCCCTGGGCTGGGTGCCACTGGGAGGTAGGACCCATCCTGTCTGCCCTCCCAAGAGCACTGCTCAAGCCTGGGTAGGATGCACAGTTGGGAGCAAGCCAGGTAGGAAGGTGTAGACGCAGTGGCCGGGGGCTCATGACATGAGATACTCCACCATCAGCTGTGCACTGGCAGCATGTGTATGCAGGCAGCGCACACATGTGTATGTGTGCATACATGTGTGTACATGTGTACACATGTGCACACTCAAGGCACACATGTGTACTGGCATGTATATGCATACACGTTCACACATGTGGCTACACGTGAATATACAGGTACACGTGTACATGTATGCATACGCACATACAGAGGGGTACACACGTACATGCACAGGAGCGAGGCAGGTGGGAAGATGTGGATGCAGTGACCAGGGCCTTGTGATGAGATATTCTGCCATCAGCTCTGCACTGGCCAGTGTGTACGTGTGTATACATATGTTCATGTGCACACACATGCATGGGTAAATGTGTGTGTGCACATGTGTGTGTCTGTATATGCTTGCACATACACGTGGGGTTATGCATGAACATATACATGTGGTGTGTGCATATACATATATACATATTACACACAGGTGCACAGGTGTGTATTTATGTTTATACATGTTTGCATATGCATATATGTGCACCAGTGCACTCACATATGCAAACATATACACATACCCCATGTGAGGGCAACACCTACATTACAAAATGCTTGTTTCTCAACGCTTCTTGGAGTAAATAGTAAAAGCCAAGAAACTGGGGAGTCTTCAAGGAGCCAGGGGAGGTCTGAGCCTGGAGG